TAAAATGAATTCTCGGCACATAGCACCACAGATGTCTATACTAGTACTAGATCGCTAACTTCGTCAAAAGGCCGGCAGGATTTCCGGTTTCGGCCATGACACCCTACAACAAAATGGCGACAATTGCGTGTGTAATGTGTATAGGCCTCACACACAAAATGACATAACCGCATATGCATAACATAAGACCGTCTCGACCAATGAACATCTAGCATAAAGGTGCCATATTGATTTACATAGCATGTTCATTGGTCGAGACGGTCTTATGCTATGCATATGCAGTTATGTCATTTTGTGTGTGATGGCCTTATATCTGTACGTGCGTATGCACATGTGATACCCGGCGTGGTGATACAAATTGATAATATTGTAAAAATTCTTGAAAGATGCCGAGCAGTTGTTGAGCAGTTGTTGAGCAGTTGTTGAGCAGTTGTTGAGCAGTTGCTGAGCAGTTGTTGAGCAGTTGTTGAGCAGTTGTTGAGCAGTTCTTAAGCGGCCATTCTGTTGTAGGGTGTCATGGCCGAAACCGGAAATCCTGCCAGCCTCAGTTTTTCCATACGTCAAAGCCATTGAGTAAAAAGAAACAGGAGGGAGCGTTTGGTCGTAAAAGTGCGGACGGAAGTGACTATATAAAGTGGTCGCTCAAGATGGCCGCTCAAGGGCGCCAATATTGAATGACTTGTTATGTTTAATTAGGAAATAATGTACAATTAAAAGAAAATAACTATAATATGCAACAATAATACCAAATTTTAATGGCGTTTTTCATTGGGATTGCACTCGTGCAGTATTTCCATAAGAGCAAAGTTAAAATCTAAAATCTAAATTTATATTAAATCCTTCGTCCTTACAAAAATTTATCCATGCATTTCTATGATTCCGGATTTTTCGGAAACCTGTTTGTGAGTGAAAATTATTTAGTAATTATTGTGAATCTACAATTTCACAATACTATACATACGATTATAATCTCCAAAATAAAAATCTCATTATTGTTGATAATACTAACCGATGAAACGTTATTCCATGATTTCGAGCTGTTGCTGTTATGCCACAAGCTCTACAGTATTCCATTTTGATCGTTTATTTCCATACACTGTTGCATAAAAGACTATACACTGCATATTAATGCGTACGGCGTACGGTATGCCGCTTGCCGCTATGCTCGAGCATTCCCTCTCACTTTCAAAAAGTGGTCGCTCAAGATGGCTGCCATGACGTACATCCGTCCGCGGATTTACCTAGTCCTGGCTAGTATATGCTCCTTCCTGTTTCTTTTTACTCAATGGTCAAAGCCTAAAGTTAGCGATCTAGTACTAGTATAAACATCTGTGACCTCAGTAAAACCGGTTGATGGCGAGGGGCGATGAAGGAAGGGGAGAGCATGATGATCTCATCGACAAACAGTAGCTGTCTGAGATAGCTTCTGTTTGCCGATGCAGTGTAGCCAGATTTGGCTTGGTTTTTCGTGCATGTGCGACGCGGCAAACGCAGTGAAGTGTTTCAGTCTAGTAAAAAGGTATACCATATAGTACCCGTTTATTTTAAAAATTATTATTTTCTGAAAAATCAATAAAAAAACAAAGTATATTTACATATATTTATATGTATATATATATATGTATATGAAAATATAAATATATGTAAATATATTTTATTTTTTTATTAATTTTTCAGAAAATAATTTTTTAAAATAACCGGGTACCATATGGTATACTCTTTTCCTAGACTGAAACACTTCACTGCGTTCGCCGCGTCGCGCATGCGCGAAAAACCGGGCCAAATCTGGCTACACTGGTCATATCTAGTATAATTCTAGTTCGATGAGCTTTGCATTGTATAAAAATTTTATTTGAGCCATTTTTATAGGTTGAATATAAGAGGAAGAAAAATTGACAATTTTGTATCTTAAAACATTTGATATGTGTGTGTGAGACTAACCTGAAATTAAAATATTTATTAAATAGGTTATAACATTTGCGCTTTTAACTCTGTATGTTTTAAATTTATGTTTTTATGTAATATTAATGTTTATGATCTTTATGTCAATATTTTTCAAATGCATTTATTAGTTATTACCATTTACAAATAAAATAACATTTTTATAACATACAAAATTTTAATTATTAATAGTTACAACATTACATTATATGGTCTAAACACAACAAAATGTATTATTAAAGGAAGAGTTATCTCTTTAGTGCTGATCATAAATAAGTTTTTTTATGAAATACAAAATACGTGCATTAAGTGTGTAAACAAATACCATTATCTTAATTTATGAAGGAGGTGTGATAACGTTATCAGTATTCCAGAACAAAGCGTTACAGAATATGATTATAGTTATAGAGTTCTTTCTTGAATCTTCTTAAAAACAGTGAATAGTGAATACTAATCAGTCATGTGCATTTCATTTATTTATCGCAATCCAAATGCCACTATTAAATCCTATCGATTGATTGTTGCATCAAATCGAGATGAGATTTATAAGCGTCCTGCATCATCAGCTCATTACTGGGAAAAACATCCTGAATGTTTAGGAGGTATGATGAAAATTGAGTTATTTAAAATTATAATGTTGCAAATTTTCTTTAAATTTTGCATAATTCAGGTGAATATTTCAATTTAATATTGCTTACTGATATCTGATTTACCAAATATCAAATATTTTAATGATATTGATTGTTTAAAAAAACAGCAATTTTTTTTGGTAAAATTGATAAAAATTTCCTTGCATTTTAGACATTTAATTATATTAGTAGATTTTAATTAGCGATTAAGAATTTAAACAAAATTATAATACATTAGGTACTGATATGGAACCTGGTAAGGAAGGTGGAACTTGGTTAGCTTTATCAATAAGAGGAAAAGCTGCTGTAATTTTAAATCTAACTAATGAAGAAGGTGTGAAAGATTTAAAGAAGAGTCGTGGTTCATTGATAAGTAATTTTGTTACTTCCAATGATTCAAAAGAATCATATTTGAGCAAACTACATAAAGAAAATATTGATGGACAACAATACAATCCTTATTGTTTGCTTTTGTTAGATTTAAAGTATGTAAAAAAATCTATAATTGATAATATAAACTCATATATTCCACTATTATTATTTAATTGTGACAAAAATAATTTAAAATCTTACTAAATTTTAAATTGTGTACAATATTTTTTCAGCAATGCAGATGTGCATTATTTAAGTAGCTGTGCAAAATCTGGCGGGCCTAAAGTTTGTAACAGTGATATTATAGGTATTGGAAATAGTGGAATAGATCATCCTTTTAAAAAAGTTGAAGTAGGAAAAAAAGAATTTAAACATATTATACAGAATGTGGATGTTTCAAAACAGGATGATCTCATTGAAGAACTTATTAATTTCTTAAAATCAGAGAAAAAGTATATCAGCTTTACATACTAAAATGATATGCATTAATGCACTTGAATTTGATATTTAGCTTATATAAAACGTTTAAGTGTTAACTAAGTTAGAATCATGTGTTATAGACATCTACCAGATCCTGAATTAAGAAAGAGATATCCAACAAAATATGAAGACCTTAGTTCAATTTTTGTTTCTACTGGAAAAGAATACGGTACAAGAACTCATTCTATATTATTGGTTGATGGTTTAAACCATATAACGTTTGTTGAAGAAACTCTTATGCCGGATTTTACATGGAAACGGCAGCAATTTAAAAATAAACTGGTATGTGATAATCTACCTGTACCTATATATACTCCTATATAGGATGTCTCATTTTATTTTAAACAGTCAAATATCTGGAAATCATAGAATTTTAGAAAAAACTGAGCTAAAAAGTATGAGAAAACACAAACTAGTCGAGAAATAAAAATCTTACTTTTTGTATGTAGATTGAATGTAGATTGCTTGACTGGAAGGTGCATAAAGTTTCAAAGAAAGTTTAAAAAATGATTAATTCTATACTCTAAAATTTAAAAAGATTTATCAAAAATGAACAAATTAAAATTTTTTATCTTTTTAAAGAGAGCAGAAGATACATAAAATCTAGACACAAGAAAATTCAGAAAATGAAGATGTTTGCAACAGAGAAAATATTCTCATTTTATTGTATTTAACAGGAATAAAGTAGAAAAAAATTGTACATATCTGATATATATGTATCATACTTTATGAGATTACGTGTATTATTTGTGTTGAATAAAAATCTAATCTTTTTGATAGTATAAATATATAATAGTATATTTTTATTACTTTTGTAATTCCTTTTGTATTTCACATATTTCTATTCTATGCATATTCACATGATTATGTAATCATGTGACAAATGTAACAATTTTCTATATTCATATAAAAATCAGTTTTTTCTTTTTCTTGTTCAAACTTTTAATTATTTCTACAATGAAATTATATATGTATCTATTTATATATGTATCTATTTTGACGTATCTATCACCACACCTATGATTCATCAATACAATCATCCTCGTTTTCTTCCATTGGATCTTCACTTAAATCAGAATCCAAGATTTCAGATGATGCACTGACTAATTCTTCTGAAAGTGCATTTATGTGTGATAAAGCAGTTTCTTCTGATGAAGTCTATAAAAATGCAATGAATTAATGTTTCGTTCGTTTATATACAATCTTTATAGAACGTGATAATGATATAAAAATTAAAACTAATAATAACCTGCGAAAGAATTTCACGGCCGTCTAAATTTTTATTAACAAGATTCCCCATCCAAAAGGCTGCTGCACTATCGTTAAGGACTAACATCCCTTTGACACTATAAATTAATTTCTCCAATATAGATTTTGCTACAGGCACATATTTTGTTAGTAGTAAGTTCTTTTTCTCTGTGCAGTCGCAGCATATAGCATGTAGATGCCGTGTACCACCTGAACATAATAATTATACAAGGTGTTATAATACAACTGTGAAAGCGTGATTTTTTATTAAAAAAATAAGTCAAAATTGCAGAAAATAATGTTGATTTTACATACAAGGTTTTGTTTCTCAAAAAAATTTTTTTAATTGAATATGCATGCATTAGTTGTAAGTCTCAATTTAAATATGATTTGGAAAAGATTACTATAGGGATTAAATGTCGATACTGAAAATATTGGGTCGGATAATATCGAGAAATTTTTGTAGAATCTGATTAAAAAATCCCGAAAATTTCTTAACGTATGTTACAAGATAAACGTATGTTACAAGATAAACGGTGGTTATGGGATATTTTCTAAATATTTCGTCGATACCATAAAATAATTTCTTACTTTGCATCATTTTAAGAATATTAGTTATATCATCTGTTTGATATTTCAGATTATGTTCGAGTATTGGCATACCAGTACTTAAAAATTGTTTTATTATCGTAGGCATATATCGCAGAAATAGTTGTATATTAGTATTCGTTTTTGAACTTTTACAAATCAGCACAAGTTTTTGAACATTTAGTGCAATGTTATGCCATATCTTTATTCTCTTTGGATCTCTGAAAAAGGTTTATTAATAAATTTCTATAAATCAATATTTATATTGACGGATATATTTTGTAAAAATTGTATTAATTTAAATTCATTGAATACTTGAAACAAAATTTTGAGATATTCAATTTTCTAGAAAAAAATAACATAAATATACTTACGAGTTGGTTGCTAACAATGATACATTGATACCTTTAATTAAACCTTCAAATAATTTTTTATATAACAAGTGAAAAACATATTTGTTCACAGAAGGAATTCTTGTTAAAGCACTTTGGGCGTTTTCCAAATTGGACGTTTCATCTGGTAACCATTCTAAAATTGACGTTATTGTATCTAGTGGCGATGATTCATTATCTATCCAATTATTCAATAATTGAATAATAGATAATTTGTACTGAGGACCAGTATGTCTATCTTCAGGCCATTCCAGACAAAGAAATCCATATGCCAATTTTGCTAAAACATAAAATTAATGAGGAATTTATATAAATTCATAATAACATCAACAAAGTGCTTATACACTCACCATGTTTGCTTTTATGCTGTTGCATATAAGTTTCAGAATGTTTCATCAACGATTGGCACACGTTGACAAGAGCAGTAGCTAATGATATCTCAGTAGCAATATCTGACAATGATTCAAAATATTTGTATGATTCCGCAACAAGTTCTTTACAAGACCGCAATTGTGCATTTTCTTCATTAACTTGTTTAGCTAAACTACGTAATCCCTCTATAAAAAGATATATCAGTACAATATTTATAAATATCATGTGTTCAATTCTTATAATTCTTATAATTAACAGAAATATACCGCACCGCGTAGCAACGTGTTATATGTCACACTCAAAAATCCTTTCCAATTGAAAATTTTGGTAAGAAGGCACAATAATAATCTTGCTCCTTTTCTGAAATCGTCATTGTTACTTTGTCTTAATATCTTGATAACATCGTCTAATTTTGAGCAGACTTTTGGCAACAAATGTATTAAATCTTTCATAAAAGATTCGGAGGGTTCATTTTCGAACATCGCCAAGAGTTCTCTTACGAGAAAACAGACTTGCTTGATTGATATGCCTTGTGTTTCAGACTGTGATGATTGTAAAGTTATTTCAATATCCAACAAATAGGCTATCTAAACATATTAACATAATATTAACATGTTATTAATGCTAACGATTCATATTTGGATTGAATAAAATTTATTTTTTCGAAAAAATATAGCGTTTTTATTTTGACTTATAAAAATGGCAATTTTATATGACCACAACACCTAATAAAAGTATTCTGTATGTTTATTTATTATTAAAAATTCAATTACGTTTGCATCAAACTTCCGAAAATACGCTGGATTTTTGGAGCAAAGTGTTGAATCTATCTCCCAGGATTCAGTCTTTTCGGTTATATTAACTTTAGATTTCTTTCCTTTCGTAGATTTCTTCCCTTTTTTGCCAGTCTTTTTTTCATTTTTTATAAATGGAGGTAATGGAAAGTAATGAAAGTAACATGGCAATGGTTGGTACTTAGTATCACATAATGTTAATAATGTGTTTAGTTCACCCTGCAAGTATATCAACGAATCCAAACGTTTTAGTACTTGTTCTCGTAGTAAAGGATCTGTTTGCGTGACAAAGCCTGTGATTACTTCTCTAAACCTGTAACATTCCTCTCACAGTTATTTGTAATCTTGGCCAGACTTGGTAAAATATTTAAAAAATTGCACTGTAAAATAGAAAATTTTATATTGATAACTACCAATTAATACCACATATAAGAAGATCTAGCACTGAAGGTTCTGGTATATCAAAAGATGATGGCATTAACATTCCACATCCCAAAAGAGCGTCTATGGCCTCCAATTCTCCGTGCACGCTGAGTCGCATGCAACAAGTTTTGAGAAGACGAAACAATATTGGTGCGATTGGACCACTTTTTTTATTTCCGAAGTTTAACACACAGTTTTGTGGCTCATTTTCTGTATTATTTAATCCAAATTTAGGTACTAAATCATCACTGAAAATAAAAATTATATAAAAAAATTAGTTTTGTTTCACAAATAACCGCTAATTGTAACTACCATAATAGAGTTATAATTGCGAAAGAATTTATAAAGTATAGTTTACCTAGATTGTTTATCTGTCATATATGTATTAACAAACTCATCTTCAATGCAGTTGCTAATTTTTTGGAGAAAATCTGTATTAATGAGTTCAGTTTGTGCTATTACATGTGCTAGTTGGTCATAAAATAAAGGTTGCGACTTCGAACAACTTCTTACACTCTTCATTACTTTATCTGCAAACGACAAAATATACGTATGTATATCACGGTTTACAAATTTTTTGCTGTATTATTTTTTTCATTTTTTGAAAATATCAAACTTTATCAGAACTTTTTTTACTTTGAAATTGAATTCTATACTCTATTTACTCTATTTTGTTATATTACATAATTCAAGAGTATGCAAAATAATGAACATACTAAATAATTTTAGGGCTTGATTACAAGTTTCGGTTCTTGCTGCTAGATGTTTTATCGCCATTACTGCTCCCATGACACCTTTGCATTTTGTACTGAAACGTATATATTGTCCAACATTTATATTTCACAAATCAAAATTAAGTATTCTATTAATTTTATAATTTGCTTACATTGGTTTAGCAGAAGACAATTGTTTTTGCAACAGTATAAACAAATCATCCCGTAGGGATTCCGAAGTGGCGTCGTCAGACAAACATAATCTGTGCAATAGGTCACTTAGAGTGCCAACTTCTTCGAGCCCAAAGCAATCTATCTTTTCTAATAAAATTCTCAGGTGATTGCAATGCGATACTAAACAATCTTTGTCATTCATATTTTCCGCTATCTTACAAAGAACAGATAGTGCATGTTTCACAGTTTGATCGTTATTACCCATAAAAAGAATAATCTTTTCTATAATCTCACGCTGCTTAAACAACATATCCTTCTGGCTAAGAATTTGTAATCGAAACCATTCTATTGCGAAATTAGTGAACACACGTTCTTCGGATTTCAATAGTTTACCCGCTAATTGTAATATCACTGGCTGTAATTCTCGAACAACCTAAAAAATAAATTTAAATATGTAGACTATTCATATGTAGACTATTTTTTATCAAGCAAGAATTAATTGCATTAATTTTTTTATTTGCAAAATATATACAAACCTCTTTGTAATCACTGTAAAGTGTATGAAGTAAACTTATTCTATAAAAACCACATTGTATGTTTTGTTTCAATAAAATTTCTGCATTTTTTTGCTTTACCATCCCAGAGAATACCAGAAGCAAAATAATTAAATCTAATGGTTTTGGATTTTTATTAATGTCTTTTATCACTGCTATTGCAGCATGCGTCACCTCCTTAGCTAGTAACATACACATCTTTAACGTTTTAATGATCTGTACTTGATTTTTATAACAGTCTTTAACTTCATCCCCAGCAAGAGGCTGCGTTTCTATACTTCGTAATACAAGTATCATTTGTTTGACAATATCGGGACATACACAATCATTAAGAAGAAATCTGCAGAATTAAAAGAGTTCTAACAAAATGTTGTAATATTAAAAACAGAAATAACAACGAATTTATGATCAAATATTGATGTACCTGATGACAGTTGGTATAAGCTCAACTTTCATATTTGTTTTTAACAAATGTAATACTTTAAGTTTATATTGTTCCAAATATTCTTTGCCAAGGTTAAAACTGGCGATACAATTTAAAATTACATTTGTCAACTCGCAATTTTCTTCCAACATTTTCATTAGAATTTCAGCAATGTCTTGATGTTGAGTGTCTGATAGAATATCAGGCAAGAATAAGATGAGTTCATATTGAAACCATTGTGGACATGTTTCCAATAGTTGCTCTATATTTGTAGTTAATGTATCAACATTGATTACGGTGTCCAAAAAACGAAACTGGTGTAATAATAATACTGCCCAAGGTACTTTTTCTGGAGTATCTCTTTAAAAATATGTAAGATGTTTTCAGTGTTAAAAAAATAATAATATAATAATAATATAATAAACATATACATTCAAATTAAATATAACTTTGCCAAGTTAAATTTCCAATGATATAAGAATAGAAGTGAGAACCTTGTATTAATTGTTATTTCATTTACTGATTAATCAAAATGATTATAGTATGAGCAATAATATCCAAATCTAAATTCATAAAATTACTAAATTTTATTTTTTTATATACTTACGCTAATAAAACAGATTCGTTAAGTTTAGACATAAAGATATTATATACATCTGCTTGAATTTCTGTAACCTCCAGTAGCATTCTTGCGAGAGACACACTTCTTAGAGCACTAAAACTTCTACTGTCAACAGATAATTCCATATCATTTAACATCTTTTCAAAACACACTTCACTTTGGATATATTTTTCTATGCAATCAATTATATCTGTCTTCTGATGCTGCTTTGAATTTAACATTTTCTTCATCTTCCATTTAGCAATGGATGGAGGAACATCTGTAAAAACAAAAATTTAAATATGCAAAATATAATTTTATTAATTTGTTTTTCTTTCTTTTTAACACGTGCAAACAAATCACGATAGATCTCATGTGTAAATAAATGAGATATAAAAATACCTGGCCACAGAGTACAACAAAATTATATAAAATATATACGTATAATAAACTTACTCAGAACATGTACATCATCAATTGATAATATAATTCCACATTTCTGTAACAAGTTGGTAAAAGCAGATATACGAAAACTTTGCTCTTTTAGAGAACATTCTTCATTATTAACTTTGCATTTGTCTAATTGTTTACTATTAATATTATGTTTCTCTAAATTTACAGGCGAATAAAACTCTTTCTTATCCTGCTGCTTTTTCTGAGAAACATTAGATTTAGTAATTGGTTCAACAGGTGATCTATGAACCAAAGAAAGTGTTTTTCTAGGAGACTGATGATTAATACCAACATCTTGAGTAACATACGGTGCATTTCTATCAACTTCAGTTTTATTTAGTTTTTTTTTTATAACAGTATATTTATCATGTGATAGATCAAGATCACTGTCTGAAGTTTCTTCTGCCAAATTTGAACTTAAAACTTTACGTTTCTGAGAAACTGATTTCTCCATTGATGAATTAGAAGTGTTCAATTTCTTTGATCTTGAAATCCTATCTTCTGTTAAATGAATATTTTCCTGTTGGCTCATAGAGGCAGTGCTGGTTGATATTTGGCTATTTAGCTGCTTTGAAGTTTTAGTATTCAATAATTTACAGCCAGCAGTAGAATCATCTTTTTCAATTTCATGAAGGTTTCTTTTCCTATTTGCAATAGACAGATTATTTCTTACTGTCAATTGATTATTTGGTTGGAGTGGTTTCAATGTTGAGGATTTTACAGTTGAGCTTCTATCATCAAGTAAATGATCAATCTTATCTTGTACTGTAATATTAGTTGAAGAACTTATTTGTTCACTATTAATAATAGAAGCAGTTTTTTTCAATGATTGATTGGCTAGTTGCAAATCCTTATGTAAACTGGTTTTAAACATTAATTTTCTTTTATCCATAATGCTTTTAAATTCTTTCACTTGTTTTTATTAATATTTCAGAAATGAAAAATATTTCAACCTATTTGAGAGAACATTAACAATTAACAAATGAAATAAAATCTGTCTTTCTAAATTATATTTTACTATATGAAATATATCTTATGATGAAAAATGCCGCGCCACTCTCAGATTATTTATTCACCATTGATTTATTTAATAGATTTAATCACTACAAGGTTTATTGGATGTCGTAAATTAAAAATTAATTTTTACGTACGAAATTTACAGATAACATCTATTTCTTATTCTATTTGCATAAAATAACAAAGAAAGAAAATGAAGCAAAAAATGGCGCCAACTGCACAACCAGAGAGAAAACTGAGAGTGGACATGCCCGCATTTTACGTGTTTCTGTCCGCTAGCGCCTCTATGGGCGGTATTCTAGTCCGTTCTTATATTCAAGATCGTCTTAAGCACGAACTTATATTCGCTCTCTTCGTCACACATAGATTGTGTCTGACGAAGAGAGCGAATATAAGTCCGTGCTTAAGACAATCTTAAATATAAGAACGGACTATGAATACCGGCCTATGTGCACACAACGTGCACATTGAATTACGTAGCTAATGTCCACGATTTTTTGGATCTCTTCCGTGCTACGTCCACGACTTTTTGGTTCCGATATGTGCTATATCTATAAAGTGTCCGTAATGCATACTTGTAAAACATAATTATGTATATCAATCAGATTTGAAATATAAATACACACGTATTGTAAATACATATATTGTAACATTTATTTTTGCATTTACAGTTTATTTAGCAAAAGATCAGTTATTTTCAATAACCAGTATAATTTGAAAATGTACATTTAAATTATTTTAATTAATTACTTTTATTAATTGTGTGTGTGCGCGCGCGCGCGCGTGTGTGTGTGTGCGTGTAAATAAAATATTGCATTTTTATTAATATTTAAAAAGATGATAAACTCTTATAGATATTTCACACAATAATGACCAATAACTTATTTTGAATATTAAAAGCCAGGGTTTACACGTAAACTATAATAGATGAAAAAATACTCGCATATTAAACACGAATGCAAGCTAGACAGTAAAAACAATCTTTTCATCTATAATTTAAGAGGACTATAGTCATGAACCGCAAGTGTGCAAATTGTGCACCGCACAAAGTTTCATTTAACAATTAGTCAAGTTTTAAAATTTAATTCTATTCTAATTTTATTCTTAACACTGCACATACACAAAATTTTGTGTGCTTGTTCTGGAAGACTTTAAGTTCTTCTAAAACAAATATTGTATATTAATTGAAAAAAACCGTGTCACAAAATTTGAAACTATAATGGTCGGATCGAATACTTGTTTATTTTTTAAAATATGACTATCCTAAAAATTGCTCTTCTTAAAAGTTGTGTATTTATCAATCCTTTATAAATCAGATATTGTCAAAAATTATTTTAAAATATCTTATTTATAAAAGATTGGTAAATAAAAATATTAAAAGAAGAGATAAAATCCTTTGCACAAAGCCGCCTTATATATACATACAGGGTGTTTCAAATCAAACGCAAGTCCTTGAAGGAGTGGATAGATCTCGATAACGTGAGTAAAAAATGTTTGTACAAAAAAATTGTGAGGTCAATAGTTTTTTAATAAAATGCATTTGAAATTAACCAATCACGGGGTTCGTATCTTACATTATGTTGTACTTATGTGTGAAAAGTTATCTTCTGCTTTTTCTCGAGTTTTTTTTGTTTATGTGATTTTCGGTAGGTTCTATTAGAACAAGTTTCCAAAATATACGATGGCATTTTTCTAATATTTTATTCGTATACTTCTTCTTACTTTAATTTCATTTGACACTTCTTTGGTAGTTTTCCACCAAGAGACACAAGCGACACAAAAGTATTATTCTCTCTGTTGCTCATTGAATATCAAACAAAGACAGAGTGATACTTGTGTCGATTTGTGTCAACTTGTGTCCTTTGCTGGAAAACAACCTTTATACTAGGAGCTTTCTGTCAAGGCATTTAGGGGACACACATCGACACGGTATCAAACACGATGCTTTCCAACAATGAGGGTGCCGTCACATACCAAGATCTATAGAGAGAAGGTTACCTCATGCGCAAAGAGGGACGAGCGGCAAGAGGGGCAATAATGATCTCATCGGCAAACAGAGGGTGTTTACGATAATTCAAGTTCGAGTTAGTTTCACTAGGACCAAAAAATGAGATAGACATAACCATCTAGAACCTTTATGATTCATGACAACTCGACGCTGTCTTGTATTGCTTGAGTTAAATTCATTGAATTTGTTGAGTTTATTGAGCAAATTTTATTGTAATAGAAAAATGTCAACTGCAAATCAGTCTATGAAAAAAACAAATAATGTTGGTATGTATGTTTGTATACCTCTTTAATAAATTAATAATAATATAATTAATAATAATAATAAATGACATTTTTCTATTACAATAAAATTTGCTTAATAAACTCAATAAATTCAATGAATATAACTCAAGCAATACAAGACAGCGTCGAGTTGTCATGAATCATAAAGGTTCTAGATGGTTATGTCTATCTCATTTTTTGGCCCGAGTGAAACTAAGGGCGGTATTCATAGTCCGTTCTTATATTCAAGATCGTCTTAAGCACGAACTTATATTCGCTCTCTTCGTCAGACACAATCTATGTGTGACGAAGAGAGCGAATATAAGTCCGTGCTTAAGACGATTTTAAATATAAGAACGGACTATGAATACCGCCCTAATAGCGTTTTCGAATAAACGGGGTTTGAACGATCTAGGGTTGATCAATCACTATTTTACTATAAATGCAAGTCTTTCATTGGTGGAGAGGTTGCAATGACGTCATTAACCAATCTTGGGTCGTTCAAATCCTGTATAATCGAAAACGCTATAACTCGAATTTGAATTATCGTAAACACCCTTAAATTCATTGAATTTATTGAGCAAATTTTATTGTAATAAAAAATGTCATTTATTATTATTATTAATTATATTATTATTAATTTATTAAAGAGGTATACCAACATACATACCAACATTATTTGTTTCTTTCATAGACTGATTTGCAGTTGACATTTTTTCTATTACAATAAAATTTGCTCAATAAACTCAACAAATTCAATGAATTTAACTCAAGCAATACAAGACAGCGTCGAGTTGTCATAAATCATAAAGGTTCTAGATGGTTATGTCTATCTCATTTTTTCGGTCCTAGTAAAACTAACTCGAACTTGAATTATCGTAATCACCCTATATGAAACTTGCAAAGAGTAGTTAGTAAGATTAAAGACATAGTAATTATTTTTATCAGTTTAATTTTTCTGATACAACCTCAACACAGACAATTCAGATATTGAACTGATTGTTCAAAAATCGGACAGATAAATGTCCGAATAAATAAAATATATGCAACATTATTCTAAGATTGCAATAACAATGCATTATTGCAAATTCATTACATTGCAATATTACTGTAATATTTCGTTGCAATCTTCCTAAAAGCGGACATTTTAACGTTGCTGCAATCCCACAGCAATGATGCAACAACATTTTGCAGTGAATTTGCAATATTGCAACATTGCGATGAAAGATTGATGCAATGTGTATGCAATCTTTGTGTGCTGTATGGGTCATTACTGTATGAAATATCTATAAGAGTTTATCATCTTTTTAAATCATACATCTTTCAACAAATTGAATTCGTTAGTGTAACTATTTTAAAAAAATAATAACAGTAATAAATTAAATTTATTGAAAAATGTATGATTTATTTTATCCAGTACTGTATAACATAAAATTTCCAAGGAGAACAGAAGTCAAAATAATGTTATTTGATATCTTGTTGATCAAAAAATGACAAAA